TTCGTATCTGACGGATGCGTGGAGCGGTGTCGGCTGCTCCGATGTTGGCCGTTGTCTTCGTCAGCCGCGCGAGCAGCACGTCTTGCCTCGCGTCGTCGCAATCTTGCCTCCTCGTCTTCAGATGCCTCGACTGGCCGGGCGCGACGTCGCTCATCGCGCGCAGCACGTCTTGCCTCAGCTTCCGTGGCCTCTCCAGCGGCAGCAGCGGCAGCAGCCTCACGATCCTTGCGACGGCGTCTGCGCTCAGCTCGTCTGGCATCAGCATCAGCATCAGCGCCGGCATCAGCGCCGACGTCAGCGCTCGCACGCTTCACTTCCTCCTCGCGCTGGCGAGCTGCACGTCTTTCAGCGCGTTTCGCTTCCTTCTCTTCGTGACGCCGTGCCTCCGCTTCCTCCTCACGTTTGCGGTGTCGCTCGCGGCGCGCCTTGTCCTTGGCTTGCCGCGCTTCCTCAGCGGCCCGCTCCGCAGTCTCTCTCTCGGCGCGCTCGGCGCGCTTGGCCTTACGAGCTGCGCGTCGGGCTTCGCGATCGTCATCGTCCACGGGCGCTTCGCCTGCTTCGCGGTCACCAGCAGCGCTCCGCTGGCGACGTTCACGTCTTGCCTCGTCGTCCGTCGTTGCGTACGTGTTCCGCCGTTGCAGCGGGTCAGGGCGCTCAGCCTTTGGTGTCATGAAACCACTAAACATGGCGCCGAACCCCTTCTTCGCCGTCGAGTTGCTGCGCGACAATGGCGGGGGCTCCGCTGGACCGTCGCCATCCACCATGACAATGTCCTCGTCCTTGGGAGCCTTGGTGCGCCGGCGCCGTTGCTCCTTGGTGGGGCTGACATCTTCGCCATTGGCGCCCACCATGACAATATCTTCGTCCTCTGGAGCGCGCCTGCGACGCTTGCTCGCGGACTTGTCAACGCCAAAGATCTTGGCAGCTTTGGATGCCATCGGAGGAGGCGCTTCCTCCGGCGGAGGGGAGGCAAGGCCGCCGACATCGTACGAATGGCGTCGCGAAGGCCTTGCACTGGCACCGAGCCTCTTGTCTCGGGTCGACGTGGATCGCGAGACAGGTGGGGTGCTGAACATGGACATGAGCTTGGGCCGGCCCGGGGCCTCCCTCGCTCTGTCTACACGTTCGGCCTTGTCTGATGCTGATCCTTTGGAGGAGCCCTTTTCTTCTTTTTCGGTAGGCGACCTTCTCGACTTGCGTTCGGACGTGGTTCTTGAGGGCCTCTTCTCCTTCTCCCTTTCCTTGTCACGTGTAGCGGGCGTAGCGGCGTTCCACATACCCCAGGAGGCAGAGCCCTCGCGGTTGATCTTGGTGCGCTCCTTCTTGAGGGGCTTCGCATCGTCGGGCGGCGGCGTTAAAGGTTGAGGCGCGTCGGGAACCGCAGGTGGAGGGGGAGGCGGAGGTGGTGCTTCGGGTGGGACATCCTCCTTTGACCTCTTCTTACTCTTCTTGCTGCTCTTCTTGCCCGGAGACATGTCGATAATGCCTACAATCTCGTCGTCATCTTCGGGGAACGACCCGGGAAGCTCAGATTTGTGCTTCCTGGGATGACTGGCTTCTTCAACGGGCTCGACGAGCGATCTGTCCTTATCCCGCTTGGAACGCTTCTTCTCCTCCCTCGTCGGCTCTGGAGGTGGCGGGGGCGCGAGTGGGGCTTCTTCGACTTCGGGTTCTTCGACGGGCGCTTCAAAGGCTTTGAGCCGGTCGGCGAGTTTGCTAGCCTTGCGAGCGGAGGACGATTTCATGACATTGTCGGCGGTCGAAGATGAGAAGGTGTCCTTCCAGTCGCTCGAGGCAGCTTCTAAAGGAAGGATGAGTCAGCAATGTAATCTCGGGTACGGCCGAGGCGTGATGCAGCTCATCTCGGTGAGAATCTGGGGTGAGTGGAGATGATCAGGGGTGCGTGCCACCAGCCCAGCGGCCAAAAGCACACCGTCATGCAATGAACAGCGCCCCCCTCCCCCTTGCCTTTTTGGGCCACATACCTTTTTTGGAAGGCTTCTTTGCGCCCCAGAAGCTGAAGGCGTCGCTCGACGGCTTCGCGCCCTCGGCCTCAGGAGCAAGGAGTTCCTCGATCTGCTCGGGACTGAGCTCATTCATAGCGTCGTCCAGGTCGGCCCCACCTGCATCGGGCGCCGGTTCGGGCTCCGGTTCGGGCGCTGGCTCGGGCTCGGGCTCCTTCGCCTTGGATTTGGACTTGGACTTGGACTCCTTCTCGGCCTTGGCGCTCTTCTTCGATTTTTTCTTGGAAGATTCAGCTGCTGCGGCGGCTGCTGCCGCTTCTGCCGCCGCCGCTGCTTCTGCCGCCGCCGCCTCCTCTGCCGCCGCCGCCTCTGCCGCCGCCGCCTCCGCTGCTGCAGCTTCAGCCGCTTCCGCCTCCTGACGCTCCCGCTCAGCCTGCTCCTCCGCTTCCCGCGCAAGTCGCTCCTCTTCTTCCTTAGCCGCTTGCGCCGCGGCTTCTTCAGCCTCCAGTGCTGCCAGCGCGTCGTCACCCGCATTCTCCTCCGCGGCAGCTTTCGCTTCGGCGCGCTCGTTGGCGGCTTTGGTCAGGCGGTCGAATACAGCCTGGTCTTTTTTCAGCAGCTTACCCCCTCGCTTCGCCTTCTTCGTGATGAGAGCCTCGAGCTCCTTCTCCTCCGCACGGATTTTCTCCGCTTCTGCCTCGGCGAGAGCAAGCGCCTCCTTCTCAAGGCGGGCGGCCTCGGCGGCCTCGGCAGCTGCGGCTTCTTCCGCTTCGCGAGCGATGCGCTCTTCCTCTTCCTTTTTCGCCTGCTCTTCCGCCTCCTTCTCCTCTTGGGCCTTGCGGGCAGCCTCTTCCTTCTCGGCCTTCTTCTTCTCCTTTTCGAGCTTCTTCAGCTCCTTCTCACTTAGCTTGGGCTCCTTCTTCGGCTTCTCCGGTTCAGGTTCAGGTTCTGCTTCAGGCTCAGTCAAGTCCATGGGAGGGGTCGGTGCTGGTGGCGGAGGGTCGGCAAGTATGTCCTTCCGGCTTTTCTTTGACTTCTTCTTCGAAGACGTTCCCCAGATGTCCAGATCGTCGGCGGCTTTGCTGTCCTTGGTCTCTTCGACAGAATCCGGCTGCACGGTTTCCAGTGCGGGTTCTTCCTCGACGATTTCGACCGGGACGTTCTTGGACTTCTTGTCCTTCTTCTTCTTCGAAGAGGCTGCGCCCCATATGTCCACAGGCTCCTCAATGGCGTCCGGCTTCCAGGTTTTGTCAGTAGTTGCCTCTTTCTTCTTGGTCTTCTTTCCAAAGGAGCTGAAAAAGTCATCCTCGGCCATGGGGTCGCTTACTTCTGGAGCTGCAGGTGGTGGTTCTTCTCCCGCGGGCGCATCGTCCTGGCCAAAATCAACCAAGGCCGATGCTTTACCTTTCTTCGCGTCAGTCTTTTGGCCGAATGCACTCATCCAGTCGGTTCCAGAGGTTCCAAAGACTTTGCTTGTGGCGTTGTTGGCTGAGGGGGTTGCTTCGCTACCTTTCTTCTTCTTATCCTTGTCCTTTTTAGAGCTAACGGCACCCCAAATGTCCCAAGAACTAGGTTCGGCGGCCGCTGGCGCAGGCTCCGGCTCCGGCTCCGGGATGGGTTCGGGTTCTGGCTCAGGTTCCGGATCGGCCCCCTTCTTCTTCTTCTTCTTATCCTTCTTAGTGACAGCTGTCCCCCAAATGTCAACCTCGGGTTCTGGCTCCGGCTTGTCCTCCTTCTTACTACCGAAATCGTCCCAAAAGGCGTCTTCCTTGACAGGCTCCGGCTCGGGTTCGGGAACAGGCTCGGGTTCAGGCGGAGGCGGAGGTGGGGGCGGGGGTTCCTCAACAGCGCCCTTCTTCTTCTTCTTCTTGTCTTTCTTGGAAGTGGCTACGGGGGCACCCCAAGGATCGTCCTTCTTCTCCGGTTCCGGCTCTGGCACTGGCTCAGGTGGGGGCGGGGGCGGGGGCGAAGGCTCCGGCTCAGGGGCACGTTCCGGCTCGGGGGGGTCCCAAATCGATGCCTTTTTCTTTTTCTTGTCCTTCTTGCCAGTAGTGCCCCAGCCGCTCATGAAATCATCGTCCGCCTTTGGGGGTTCTGGCTCCAGCACCGGCTCTGGCACAGGTTCGGGTTCCGGTTCCGGTTCAGGCACCACAGGAGGTGGCGGTTCCGGCTCCGCAGCAGCGCCTTTCTTCTTCTTCTTCTTGTCCTTCTTCGAAGCTGGCGCTGCAAGTCGCCCCAGTTGTCGTCGGGCTTGACAGGTTCAGGCTCAGGAATCGGCTCAGGGACGGGTTCAGGGACGGATTACGGCACCGGTTACGGCTCGGGCTCAGCAATGGCGCCCTTCTTCTTCTTCATGGTAGTTGTGCTAGTAGCTCAACAGCCCCAGGCATCGTCCTGCACGGGTTCGGGCTCCGGTACAGGTTGTGGGTCTGGTTCTTTCGGCGGTTCCTCCTTCTTCTTCGTTTTCTTTTTCCCAGTCCCCCAGCTATCCCAAATGTCGTCCTCTTCCTTCGGCGGATCAGGTACTGGCACTGGAGCAGGCGGCTCCGGCTCCGGTTCTGGCTCGGCCGCGCCCTTCTTTTTCTTCTTCTTGTCCTTCTTGGACGTCGTTGTCGTGCCCATCCAGTCGTCGACAGCGGGTTCAGGGTCGGGAGCTGGAGGTGGTATCGGGGCTGGGTCAGGCTCGGGCTCGGGCTCCGGATCCCCCCAAGGGTTGTTCTTCTTCTTCTTATCCTTTTTAGAAGCAGCCGTGGCAAAGGAGAAGCCAATGTCTTCTTTCTTTTCGTCTGGGGGAGATGTCGCCGGGGGTTCCTCGGCGACTTCGTCGACATCACCAAACCCAAAGCCAATCTTGCCCTTCTTTTTGGGCTTTGGGCGATTGATGCCCCAGGCACTGTCGTCCTCCTTGGGTTCAGCGGGCGCGGCGTCTTTGGTGGTGCTGGAAAAGTCCCATGCCCCTCCTGTGGTCCAACTGGTGCCCCACGTGCCAAAGGATGATGTTTTGGTGTCAGTGGTGCCAAAATTGATGTCGAGCCCGCCCGAGCCCACGTTTGGATCGTCTAGTTTGATTTCCTGGAAGGAATCGGCGGGTGCCTCCTCGGGGGTAGGGTCTGCCGCAGCGCCCTTCTTCCCCTTCTTCTTCTTGGCGGGTGCGAAGCTGCCCCAGTCGTCGACAGGGTCAGGCTCGCCGCCGCCGCCGCCGCCGCCGCCGCCTCCATCCCCTCCATCACCGCCGTCCCCGCCGTCCCCGCCAGCACCACCGGCACTGCCATCATTCTTGCCAGCGTCGCCACCCTGATCATCGCCGCCGCCTTCATCGTTCTTCTTGGTGCCGTCGTCGTCGTTGCTGTTGTTGTTATTGGTCTCGGCAGGCTTGTTAGCGGCAGCTTTGGCAGCAGCGCTCTTTTTCTTCTTTGCAGCTTGCCAGAAACCGTCCTCGGAAGAGAAGTCAACCTCGAATTCCTGGGTCGGATCGGCGAAGAAAGCATCGCGGCTGCGCCTCCGCCGCTCCTGCGGGGTGGATGTTGGAGGCAGAGGGAAAGATGACAGCAATGTGGGAGAATGTTGGCTGGCGCAGGCGTCAGTAGCGGTGGGGTCCATAACGATGTCGGTCGCATCCGAGGGTTCGGGTAGAGGGGCGAAGCGTCGAGACCATCGCGGGGCGCATTCGGGCACCGTGAGAGGAGATGAGGGGTTGTTGAGAGCTGAGTGAGAGTTCCTCCAGAGAAGGGTATATCGAGTCTGTGCAAGTCTCGAGATTAGTTCCGATTTCAAAAGAGAGGAGAATCCTGCGCAGTTGATATCGAGGTGTCCAGCCAGTACCCCGCCTATGCCTGAAGCGTCGACGGCGACACACGCCGTTGCAACGCCGCTGGACTCCGGGGGGCCTGGCGGGTTTGGGATAGCAGTAACTGCGAACAGGTACCAGTGCTACGCATGGAGGACAGCTGGTGCTGGAGAGTGATTCGCCCTCTTACCGTAGCATGGCGCCTAGCTTGCAACCACGCCCGAGCAATCATGCCCAGGCGGATGGTTGTATCTTGTTCATCCCAGCCAGTCGGTGAGGGCTGGGTCGTTGTTCTCCAACCACATGCGCTTCCCAGAAATGTTCCTGGGAACGCCAAAACCTCGGCCGTAGCCATTGTGGAATTTGGAACTGGCGATGCGATGGTCGGGTACGAAAATCATGGACGCTGTGGGAGGGTCGGTAGAAGCCGCTGGATCGGAGGGGGTCGTGAGTTTGTCGATTTGCAACGACGGGACAACGAGCTCGTTGTTGAGGCGGGGAGAGGGTCGTTGCGAGTCTGGTAGCACGAACGGTGTGTACACTTTGGCAAAGCGAAATGACAGCACAAGTGGACGGAGAGCACGTTTCCGAGTTTGCCTCGTCTTAATCGGGCCTGGCGATGTAGGTAGCCTGGTGAGCAAAGACAGCTGAGCCAGTCTGCCCTCAAAATGTGGAGGGACAAGGGCGAGACAAGGTGGTGATACAGAGCAGAGCAAAATATTTTTGCGCTCGTCGTCTGAGGTTGCGTAGAAATGGGATGGGCTGGGGAAAGGGCCCTGTGATGCGAAAAGAAGGGTCGGATCGATAAGTAAACGGAAACCGTCACCAGGCGCCAAATGACGGTGAAGAGCAGGGGGCAGGGATGTAGCTGTTCCGATCTCCCTCCCTCGTCGGTGGTGGCCTGTCGCCCTGGGCGTCAGATAATGCCCGCACGCTCGTGTCGTCGGGTGCTCGAGCTCGATTCCAAAGGCAGAAAAAAGACGACTCGATCGCCGACGTTATTTTCTCTACTTATTTTGGTGGCGATTGGAAAGGGTTCACCCGTGTCTGTTTTCCTTCCTGATTTCGATTTCTCCTCCTGAGCAGCGCAGGCGCAGATACAAGGGCCGCCAATGGATCATGGGGGCGTGAACCAGCCACGCTGCGACCCTGGGAGCCAATTGCGCCTTGCTGTCCCCTGCTTCTTTCTCGATCTCGTCGCTCGGCCAGGGCTGGCCAACGCAGGCGACAGTCCAGTCGGGATGCCCTCGTAGGCTGGTCCAGTGATCCGGTGATCCAGCAAGAAAGCTGCAGGACGAAAGGGGGTGGGTGGTGGATGGTGGTTCTATCGTGAGCGTGTGACGAGAGGGTGTCTCAGTTTCGATGGTTGTTGGTTGGTAGGGTAGGTCAGTCGCCCTTCCAGGCCGTCTCTTCTTCAGCAAAGTGGCAGGGAGCGTTCTGTTCGTACAAATCCACCGTGAGCAAGTGAACGAGGACGGACGAAACAAAGCCAGCCAAGCAAAAAAATAGCGAGAATGGCGAGTATATAAAACAGGCAAGTCAGAGTGCAAGGGCGAATGTACATGGGGAAAGGCAAGACGGGATGGTTATACAGTAGGTACCTTAGGTAGGTAGTATGGATGCGGCCAGGGGGGGGTGGCTATGGATATCACGCACTTCCTTCATCCTACCTTGCCAAGGTACCTTACTCTCGAGGTATTGGGCGTACAGGTACATGCAGAGCCAAATGCCCCGGCCAAGTCAGAGCACTGTGGCCCTGCATGAAGACCACTAGTTGCAGTACAATGAGGTTGTCCCGTCCTCTGGCTCCCGGGGCGGTGGTGTCCATCGTGTCCACGGGTTCCCAGTACGTGCGCCAGCGCATTGATGGGAATCAGAGACGGGGCCTCGTGCTCGTAGTCTATTCAACATCTGACGAGAAAGCAAGTACTGACTGCAGGAAGCAGCGAAGCACCTTAGGTAGCTACCTCCTTAGGTGCCTAGGTAGGCAGGTAAGGTAGGCACGAGACAGTCGAAGAAGGTCTGCTCCCTCTGTCCCTGCCTTACACCTTCCCAAGTCCACATCGTGGAAGGAGCCACGCGCGCGATGTTCCGGCCGTCTTTGCTTAAAGGGCTGCCTCGATACATGACTGGCCGTCACTATGATGCCTACTCCTGCTTGTGCCCCCCAGAACCCCCCCCCCCCCCCCCCCCTCCATTCCAAGAAGTCTCCATTCTCTTTCGGGGCACCACCTTTTGCATCACCACGCTGCCCACTCTTCTACGGCTTGACTTCTTGACCAGATGGCTACTGCAGGTGATGGTTTGTTTCCCTCCCATGTTCCCCATGTTGCCCCCTTGTTCCCCTTGTCCCCTTGTCCTCGTTGCCCCCCCTCCCCTCCCTGGTGGCCTTGTACTAACGGGTCACCTAAAGACGGTCGCTAGCCAGGTAGAGCTCGATCAACCAGCACCCAGCCGAGTTGGACCCTACGTACCGACCAGCGCCCTCACATGTCTCGACCGTTCTTTTTCTTCTGCTTCTCTTTCCCGTGTCTGATCAACATGGGCATTCTTGGTCCTCCTCGGCGCTTTCATCGCGGTGGACAACGAGACCAGGTCGACGAGTGCTGCCTGAACTGCCCCTCGCCCCTCGCCCCTCCATCCCACCAACAGGAACAG